TGGAACTCAATGTCTTCATGTTCATGACTTAAACAGAAAAATCATGAACCTGAAGCCACTTCAGGGACACACAGTTATAAGTAATAATTCAATCAATAAAACTTTTGTTTTATATTGGCAAAGTGCCAAACAACACAAAACCAGTTTTTATTTTCAGTGTTTGGCAGAGTGGTCCCAAGGTGGCTGTGCTGTACTCAGGACTCCATCTCCTGATAGAGGCACGCTTCTTAAAGCTCTAGGACTAACGAGCTGTGGGCTTCGGGCAAGTTACTGCCCTTCTCAAAATCTATTTCAGCTCTCACACGTGTGCTGCTATGAGTAAGACCTTATCTTAAAGGTTAATTATAAAGGATAACCAAAAGGCCTCTAAGACCCCAGCTGGTTATAATTCCTAGAGTTAAAAGATAGTAGCTGTTTTGGCTACCCCAGCTGGCAAGCACCACATTAAAGGGCTCCCCATTACGTAGACGCTCACTTTCTGCTCCGCCTAATCTTGAAGTACTTGAATCCATCTACTTCTCACTCCTGATTATTACCTTCACGTCACCAACCAGTAGCTGTGTTATTTCTGTTCCTGGCCTTTTCTTGCACTCCTTCTTTCTTACACTTGACTCATGGCCCATGCTTCCTAGATATCAACAGCCTTGATTTCCCCAGCTTCAGCCTACCATTTGAGAAGACTTTGTACACATGTTCTATCCCACCTAAATGCATCAGGTCTTACAGGCAGAGTCCTCAAAATATATACAATTGAAACTTTAGTGTGCTCGGGTCTTGGAAAAATGGTATATATATTTATATATGTATATATATATGTATATATTTTGTCTTTCCAAACTTTCCTTGTTCCAGCACCATTGCTGTAAACAGTTTAAAGACTTAGTAACGATGAGCTTTTCTCATGTCTGCCAAGAGTGGCATCTAGTGGTAATTTTGTAGAACTGCACTTTCCAGCCTCAAAAAAAAATTAAAAAATCGTGTTATTTCACTAGCAGTTGGTATTTATAACAGCAGAACAGTATATGTATGCCAGATACTAGTCTACCTGGGAGCAGAATCCACTTCATGGAATTAGCTAGTCCATAAATTATACAGGCCCTATAGATGCCCTATTATACAGCTGGGGCTCATAATTCCCCATAGGACTCCAGGTTTATTTTAATTTCCTAATACTGGATTTACTCTGGAAAGTAATTCTCAGACTGAGTAGTTGCACCTACTGCTTGGTCTTGATGCCTTTGGATATTGTGGGGTGTCTTAACACATTTTCATCACTGTAGTAGTTTCCTTGGGATGTCTTAACAAAGTACCTCAGACTAGGTGGCTTAAACAACAGAAATGTATTACCTCACTCTTATGGAGGATGGAAGTCCAAGATCAAGGTGTTGGCAGGGTTGCTTCTTTCTGAGGAACGTGAGGAAGATTCTGTTCCATGCCTTTCCACTAGCTTCTGGTGGTTTGCTGGCTATCTTGGGTGTTCCTTGGCTTGTAGACGCATCACCTCATTCTCCACCTTCACCTTCATCGGGCATTCTCCCTGTATGCCAGCCTATCTCCAAATTTCCCCTTTTGTAAGGACATCAATTATACTGGATTACGGTCTACCCTAAGGATATCAATTTACAACAACTGCAATGAACCTATTTCCAAATAAGGTCACATTCTAAGGTAACTAATATATGAATTTTGTGGGAGACACAGTTCAACCTATAACAAGCACTGATCTCATTACACTTCATTTTTGCCATGTTGGTGTCAGGGTTAGTCATGAAATCGCTTTGGCCAATAAAATGTGAGTAGAAGTACTGTGTGTATGTCCATGCAGAAAATTTAAGAATTTTATTCCCTCTGCTATGAAACTGGCAGTACTGCTGCAGGTAGAGGCTATTTCATCAGCCTTTGTCTCAGAGTGACAGTGACGTGGAACAGAGCAGCAGCTGACCTTTCATGTATATATAACATGAAAAAGAAAGAAACCTTTATGTTTTTAAGCCACCGCAACATTGGGTGTCATTTGTTACTGAGTACAAATTAACTTAAACCAACTGACACTCTTAAGTACCTAAGTGACACCATAAGTCCACTCCTAATGTGTGGGTTTTTTCATTCATTCATTAGATATTTGTTGAAAATTTGCTCTGTGTTAGGCATAGTACTATATGTTGGGCACAGTGATGGTTAATTTTATATGTGAAATTAGCTAGGCCACGGAACCCAGAGATTTGTTCAAACACCAGTTTCAATGTCTCTGTGAAGGTATTTTTTGGATGAGATTAACATTTAAATCAGTAGACTTTAAGTAAAGCAAATTACCTTCCATAATGTGGTGGGCCTGATACAATCAGTTGAAGGCCTTAAGACAAAACACCGAGGTCCCCCCTGCCCCCAGGAAGAGGGAATTCTGCCTGCAGATTCCCTTCAGACTCCAGCTGCAGCATCAACTCTTTTTGGGTCTCCAGCCTCTAGGACTATTCTGCATATTTTGAACTTGCTAACCCCCCCAAATTGCATGAGCCAATCCCTTAATATAAGTCACTATGTATATGCACATCCTATTGATTCTGTTTCTCTAGAGAAACCTGATTGATACAGATGACCATCAGCAGACAAGCTAGCAATAGTCCTCATAGAGCTTACAGTCTAAGGAATGAAACAGATGGAAAAATTACAGCGTTGTGTAGTAAATGCTGGGAAGTACTTCACTTAATAGGAGCTCATGGGAGGAGCGCCTAACCTTGACTTGAGGAATCATGGAATGCTTTCTGGAAGAAATGAAGTCTGACTTGAGAACTGAAGGTGGCAGGTGGAATAGGAGTTAGCTAAGTGCGGGGCCAGGGTGGTGGGGACCAGGAATTAGATTGAGTATAGAACACATATTCTCAACTGCAATTTTATTGCCCCGAAGGTAGAGAAAAATAGCACTTGCAGGTGAAATAAACCTTAGTTATTACAATATTTTGTGACCATACAAGCTCAAATCTATGTGACAAAATTTTATTCCTTAATACTTAATGGGACTGTGGAGGAGATGGTTAGAAGAAATGTCTAAACTCGGGTGGGGTGGGGTGGGGTGGGGTGGGCAGCACTGATGAAAAAGACGTTGAGAAACGCTGGTATAGAAAGACCAGTTTGGGTAGAGGAATGATCACCTATGGAGCTATAGAAGTGAGAGAGAACATAGAATATTTAAAATATTGGAATGGTTGAGGCACAGAGTTGAGAAGGAGAGTAGGCAGGGAGAGTAGTGAGAGCAGGCTGTTCTAGCCACAAATTTTAAAGAAAATTCAATCTGAAAATACGTTTGCTCTCACTTATCTAAATGATTTAAGTAAAATTGGATTTTGTGTCCAAGTTATCTACTGCAGACTGCTCACTTCTTAATATGTGAATCTGTACTCTGTGTTTGTATCACTAAGTTTTAAACATTTTTTTCCGAGATGGCAAAGGACAATTGTTAAGCTATCTTTTTCTATCACTCTGAGACTTTTTAGTTTTATAATTATAGTCTCTGGAATAGCATCGTGTTCAGTTGGGCACTTAATCATAACGCTCTTCTGGAAGGCACGTGAACCTCTGGAGAATTTGCATGTGATTTACTTCACTGGAGTTTCAAAGATTAAAAATATGAGAGTATAAAGGTATTTTTCTTGGCTTCATTATTGGGAATAGAATGAGAACAATGGTCTATTTAATAACCATTATCATTATCTTCCCCACAGATTGAAATAAAATTACTTTAATATGCTATTAGGATAATCTTTGCAAATATGCTGCCAATCATTTTTTTTATTTTCAGCAGCTTGTTAACAATGAACTCAAAGCTAATTCAATGCTTTTGAGAGATAGTATAAACTTAATTCTAGAATCTGAAGAACTAAAAAATTGTATGCTGTACTATAATTTCAACCCTGAATATTTTTCTATGACACCACTGGCCTGCTCAATATTAAGTAAAACTAATCTAATGTCTAATATAATTTTTTTCTTACTCACTTTTTCTTATTGATTTGACAGAGAGAGAGAAAGAAACATCAATGGGAGAGAGAAACATTGATCGGTTGCCTCCCGCATGCACCCACCCGGACTGGGGATGGACCCTGAAACCTGGGTATGTGGCCTGACTGGGAATTGAACCCACCACCTTTTGGTGCATGGTACAATATTCCAACCAACTGAGCCACACTGGCCAGGGCTCTCATATAATTTTCTTAAGAAGCAGCATTCAAATAATATTTTTAGAAGGTCTTGTTACGTAAAAGACAGTACATGGAAGTAGTTCTGAGTATGTGTTCTGAAATCAGACTGCCTGGGTTCAAATCCTGAGTTGCATATGTTTGAGTTTAAATGTAGCCAGCTTTTATAAACTTGGACAGATGTGTAAAGTTATGTAGTCTTACCCTCTTTGTACCTCACTTTCCGCATGTGTAAATTATGGCTAATAAGAGAACACTACGTAGAGTTGTTGTGAATTTTACGTGAGTTAATTATGTAAAAATACTTAGAACAGTGCCTGGTACATACTCATTACTCACTTACATTAGCTATTATTATGATGATAATGTGAAACCCTTTATTAAGTCGTTTTAAAATCATTTGTTGAGTGCTTCTTGTAGTCATAGGAGAAACTTACTTGTGAAACTGTTTGTACATCTTCCCTAAAATGGACTTCGGACTCAAGATATGTTTTAAACTAATTTTTTATCATTATTCTCTTTAGTACATTTCAGATCTTTAAATTGTTTTATATTTTAGGCGAGGATGATATTTTGGTTCTTATGTGAGAAGATAAACATCTAAAGTTTGTAAGAAAAAGCACTCCTTAGGACAGAAGGTGGGAGATGAATTCCTCTTCGGAGTTTTTTATTGGAGCCTAGCATTTATATTTATGGTGCTGTTTTTTCCAGGTTGACAATAGGATAAAGGGTTACCCATGATCTTCTGGCATTCTTTAATTTTGAGTAAAGAAATGTAAACATTCTTTTAATATTTATGCCTTTCAGAAAATGTCTTTGAAATTTAAAAATGCAAAACGAATCGAAGGCCTTGATAGTAATGTGTGGTGAGTACCTTAGAATCAATAATAATTTGGTGAGTTTTTTTTCTACACATTTTTATATCCTTACTTGGGAAATTTTAGCCTTATCTATGGTCAGTAAATAAATCAACTTATTTTAATTCACCCATTAAATGGAAATGGAAGGAAGTTAATGATCCATACGCTGATTTATTCATTTACCAAATGTGCCAAGTCCTATGCTAGGCACTGGAAATAGGCAGAGAAAAGACAAATTTGGTTGATGCCCTCATGGAACTTAACTTCTAATCCATGAACTTTTCTTATTAGCTCTAGTCTCTAGCAGTTGATAAGAGAACCTAGCAGGGCTGGTACGATTGAGAAAAATATCTATATGATTAAAATATGGGCATCATGGAATTGAGATTTGTAAGAAACATTTAAGTTTATTTGTTCAGCTATCATTTTATTAAGTGAAGTCACTTTGTAGATGGTAACATTTTTGTTGAGAACTCATTTTTAAATAAATCTGAAGCAGGTCTTATTTTTCACTTTTATTATAAGATTATGAAGTATAAAAAGTTAGTTCTGTAATGTAGTGCTCATTAATATTAGTTTTTGTTTTTTTCATCTTAGGATTGAATTTACCAAGTTGGCCGCAGACCCCTCTGTTGTGAATCTTGGCCAAGGCCTTCCAGATATATCCCCTCCTCCATATGTGAAGGAAGAATTATCAAAGATTGCGGCGATTGATAGCATGAATCAGTATACACGCGGCTTTGTAAGTACAGGAAGACCACGTGGGGCATGAGCTTGTGTTTTATTTTGTCTTGTGTGTGAACATCTATCAATTCTATGTAATTGGCTTTCAGGGATCAACTCTCCCAACCTAATAACCAAGGAGCCCCACCCTTCCCTCATCTGCTAGGATGAGCTGTCCCCTACTTCCAGCTCCCCCCCAGTCCTGTCTTGGCCCTTCCTTTGCTGTTGCTGGAGAATGGTCCTGCGGCAGCAAGGGAGGGAGGACGTTCTCTTGCGACGTGTTTCTTTCCCATTCACACGCAGCCTGAGGACTGGCTTCTTAATTATCCTCTGTTTCCAACTAGCTTCTTTCCTCTACTCTACCTCAGCTCAACCCCCATCCTTCTTTGATTAAATGCCCAGGATATCCAACGATTCTACAAAAACAACAACAAAAACTACCACAACCTATTAAATGAATTGATCAAGGTTATAGGACACAGGCCAATATACAAAAATCAATTGTATTTCTATATACTAAAAATGAACAGTTGAAAAGTAAAAATGTTTTAAATACATTTTGGATGCGCTAGCATCCAAAACCATGAAATATTTAGAATTGAAATTTTAAAATAAATGTAAAAATCTGTATACTAAAAACTATAACAACTCCTGAAAGTAGTTAAATAATACCTAACTAAATGGAGTGATATATGATGTTCATGGATTAAAAGACTAAATATTGTTAAAATGACGGTTCTCCCTAAATTGGTTCATAGCAGAGTTTGTCAAGCTATGGCCTGTGGCTGAATCTGATGCACACCTGATTTTCTAAATAAAGTTTTTTTAGAACAGAGCCAGGCCCATCATTTACATGTCATCCAGTTTTTGTAAATATGTGTGAGTGTATATGAGCACATTTTTAATGTTGGTATAAGCACTGGGAATTGTATTGCACTCTCACCAGGCTGAGGACATTAGTTACCTCAGGGAAGGGAAGAAGTGATGTTGAGGAGAAGTCATAATTTCTCTTTGCATGTCTTTGCCTAATTTAATTATTGTATGAAGCATGAATTATTTCTGTAATTAAAAATATTTAAAAACATAGACCCTTATCATTCTAAGAAAAGATGATTATTGTTTATAATTGCTTTCAAATCACCCTTTGCTAGAATTTGTTAGACCTGGTGTTGAAAGGAAATTGAAAGAAAAGTTTGGATTTCTGGGAGTGGTGACAACCTTCTCTTGCTCTTTCCACAATTCATGTGTATTTTTTGAGCTTGAATTTATATGGTCTTTTTCTTGCCATCGTTTTTTAGTTTACTGCCTATGTTCTATTACTCTATTATTGATTATATCCAGTTTCTCTAATATTATAATATGTCCTAATTTCAAAATATGAAAAATGTGCTATAGCTTTGTTTTTATTGATTTTAACTCAGTGAGGGTCTGGGACATACTAGCCAATATTCTGAAAGGAATAGAAAAGTAAATGCATTTTTAACCAAAATATGCCTCCTTTTCTTTGTATGAACTGGGGTGGACAACTTATAAGGCCCTTTTACTTCACAAACCTAGAGTATGTCCCCCTTCTCCTGCACCCTGACCTACTTTATTCCTCCAGTCCCAAGTGCTTTCCAAACAAGGACATGTTACCTGCACTTGGACATTCAGTCGCAAGTGACAGAAAACAAGGGTGGTTCCCCAAAAGCAAAAAGAGAGAGTAGATGCTGGATAGAAAAAAAATAAATACTGACTTTGATACCTAAAAAGACAAGGAGGGGAAAAAGGAGGGAAATGAAAGAGAAGGAGAGAAGGTTGAGGGGGAGCTAATGAAGACGTCAGCCCCCCCCCCC